AAATGTCAGAAGTGAAAGAAGCTTTGAAAAAGATGAAGATAGAAAAGGCTTTAGGACCAAATGATATACTGATAGAGGTTTGGAAGTGCATAGGGAGATTAGCATTGACTGACTGACCAAGTTGTTAAACAAGGTGTTGAAAACAAAGAAAATGCCAGACGAATGGAGGAAAAGTATTGTGGTTACTTATTTACAAGAACAAAGGAGACATACAAAATTGTGCGAAATATCGAGGGATCAAGTTTATGAGCCATACTATGAAGCTCTGGGAGAGAGTGATTGAGCAACGACTAAGGCATAAAACGAGTGTATTTGGAAACCGATTTGGTTTTATGCTAGGAAGGTCAACAACTGAGGCTATTTTCCTACTTAGGCAATTGATTGAGAAGTTTAGGATGAAGGGGAAAGACATGCACATGGTCTTAATTGATCTAGAAAAAGCTTATGATAGAGTACCTCAAGATTTGATTTTGCGTGTGTTGGAAACAAAAAGAGTTTCCAAAAACTACATCGACTTGGTGAGAGATATGTACGATAGAGCGTTAGCTAGTGTACGAACAACTAGTGGAGAGATGAGTGAGTTTTCAGTGACAATAGATCTACATTGAGGATCAGCATTGAGCCCGTACCTCTTTGTCTTAGTTATGGACGATTTAACTAGGCACTTAGAGGATGAGGTACCATAGTGCGTGTTGTTCGCAGTTTACATAGTTTTGATCGATGAGACCTGAATCGGTGTCGACACAAAGTTAGTACTTTGGAGGGATGCTATCGAATCCAAAGATTATAAAATTAGCCGGACTAAGACATAGTATATAGAATGCAAGTTTAGTGATGATAGGTATAGAGACGAGGAAGTAGTTAAGATTGACGATCAGGAAGTACAACAATAACCGTACTTTCGATATCTTGGGTCAATAATCCTGAAAAATGAAGAGATTGAGGAAGATGTTGCACACAAAATTAGAACTAGGTGGGTGAAGTGGAGATGTGCAACTGGAATTTTATGTGATCACTGCATACCAATGAAGCTAAAGGGCAAGTTCTATAGGACAACTGTAAGACTAGCTTTGCTCTCTGGGGTTGAATGTTGGGTGGACAAAAAATAATATACCAATAGAATGAGTGTAGCAGAGATGAGGATGTTGAGATGGATGAGTGGCAAGACAAGAAGGGATAGAATTCGAAATGAATGCATTTGGGAGAATTTAGGTGTGGCAGCGATAGGCGCTAAGATGAGAGAGAGTAGACTTAGGTGGGCTGACCTTGTGTGGCCCCAACCAAATACAACACCTATTACGAGGTGCGAGTTAATTCAAGTGGAAGGACTTAAAAAGGCAAGAGGTAGGCCCAAAAGGACATGGTTGGACGTAGTTCGGAAAGATATGAAGACTCATGGCCTCACTGAGGGTATGGCCTTTAATAGAGCATAATGGTAGCCGACCCCACTTAATTGGGAAAAAGGCTATGATGATGATGATGATGTTGATGATGATGTAGGATCCATGGAGAAATATGACTCTTCAAAGAATGTAGAACTTTTTGAAACTATGTTTGCTTTTTAAGGTCAAAATAGTTATATCCTTTTCGTGCGAGAATATCCTCAAAACTACGATCCAACTTTTCTCTAGTACCTTATGGTAGATGGGCATAATATGCACACTCAAAACTGTAAGATGCTCTAAAGATTGTGTCCAATCAGCTCTTCCAAAGGTGGAATGTGACTTAAAATAGCAGTGGCTAACCGACTGATCCAACAGATACAACATTACACGAATAAATCTTAGGCACATTCATGGTAAACATAATGGCCCTGGCTACCTCTAGGAGATGCCTATTCTTGTGCTCCTCTGCCTCCGCAACCCCATTCTATTGTAGAGTAGGAATGCAAGATATTTGATGGAGAATGCTATTCCTCTAAAGGTACTCAATCATGTGATGGTTAACTAAATCTCTTTCATCGTCGAACATAGAATTCATGGCCAAGACCAGTCCAGCCCGCCCTGTCATGGCCTTGACCCAAGCCGAGCCGGTCCAAGGACCCCTAAGCCTCGAGTCACATTTTGTGGCCCAGGCCCTATTTTTAGGGTCGGGCCAGGGCACCCGGCCCATTGCGACCCCTAAATGGAAGGTCAACCATTAAAGACCAGCACTTGATCTTATGATGGCCATCATTCTTGCAGTAGGTGCACTAATTTCATGATAAAGACGCTTCTCTTATTTAGGATTCACCTAAGGTTACAATTTGTACTTGTAATTCTACTATTTGCTGCCTGCTTTACTGCAATTTTTGAGTGGCTCATAACTTCCCTTCCCTAATCTTCTAGTTCAGGATGATTACAGGTCGCACAAGCAAGGAAGTTTTTGGCAGGCTACGATCAAATTTTGAAATTTTGAGTTAAAGACCTGCATGTAGCTCATAAACCCGACCTACATGTAGCTCATAAACCGGACATTCATCTATTTTTGTTCTATACATTTCAAGCTCAGTTGCATAATCACAAGGAGGCAGGTCATTGTAACTCAGTTCATTCCACATCTTTTCAACATTTCAAAATATGCAGAAAGAGACTTACCTCCTTGTTGAATGTTTGCTCTGTCACAATGAAGTTGGAATACTCTAGGGTCTTATCCTTCTAAGAGATTTCTCTTGAAAGGCATTCCATATTTCTTTAGCATTCCGTAAAGCATTAAACTATCACTTATATTCAAGTCCCATAGAGTTAACCATGGCATGGCTATTGCATCATTTGCTCTCCATTCACTGAATGGATCTGTAGAACTAGGGGGCTTTGATGTCCCATCGGCATGACCCATTGTCCCATTCTATAATGCCCCAATACCAATTTGCACAGACTGCCTAAGATAGGTAATTATCCTTTATTCAATTTGACAGTTGTAATTTATTAAGAAGCAGATTTCACTGACCATGTGATATTTCTTTACTCAGCTATATGAAGTGCCTATAAGATGGCCAAAAAAGAGTATGAAAAACATTAGCAGCTAGGACAAAAGTGGTTTTTTTTTAAAACAAAAATACTACCTTAAGATGATCCAGACAAGAAAGGCAAAAAAGAGGTCGGCAACCATAAAATATGTTCACAAAGAAAATTCCAAAATTCATGAAAGTTTGTCACAGATGCATAAGGTATCGTTTGTCTCGTGTGTTAGTAAAAAAAAATTAAGAGTGCATACAAATGTGATACTCTTTTGATCCAAAACTCCTAGAGGGCACTGGAATGCTCAAAATGAACCACTACTGTTCCCACTTGATCTAGCTTCCAGAAACCCCTAAAAGCAAGGTGAAGAACCTTTGTTTCCATCAAAAAAATTTCAGCAAGATATTAGACACCTTTAGTATGTTTGTCAAAAAAACTTCGATTGAAGGCCAATGGAAAGCACTCAGCAAATTTAAGGTTTGAAGGTGTTTGAACAGGTGATTTTAGCTGGCTGTAGTGATATGTCAGCCTTAGATTCTGCCAAAATATGGATTTTGCTGTTGAAACTTGTGCACAGGGAGATCGAACAAGTTGTTTGATATTGACATAAGCACTCTCCCTAAAGTTTGGTTTCTCAAGATATGGGGGAGAAAATAGTTCTCTCTCTCTCTCTCTCTCTCTCTCTCTCTCTCTCTCTCTACACACACACACACACACACACACCTCTAATCTCAGAAGAAAGGAAAGGGATAAGACAATCTCAAAGTAGAGGTATAGCATCTACAGCCAAAGAATATTCTTGCAGATTTCAACCAAATACTATTATTGCAGATTTTATTGGAAATTACATTTGGACTATTACAATGCGTTTTGTAGTGTGACCCATTAGTTGTTTAGGATATATGCCAAATTTTAGTTGTTTGGTCTCATTTGTATGCTGTCCCAAAATGTGCTTTGGCATGGTTGGGGTGGTGTTTCAGCGTTTGAAACATTTCTAGATGAGACGGTCCTCCTGCAGGAATCCAAAATGCCAATATGTGATCACTGAAACTGAAAGTAGCTCTCATCCCACTTGCAAAATAATGCATTTTCTGAGTCCACTGAATGCTTGGGATCAGAACGCTTGTGGGAATCCTAATTTGATCTTTCAGAGCATAGGAACCAGAATTTGTTTCTTGAAGTTGGAGAGAGATTTTATTTTATACTTTCAGCTCTTCAAGTTTCGCATTTTAGTGGATTGAGTGTTTTTTTTCTTGCATTTGTTAAATATCATAAATCGAAGAGAACCTTTTATCTTAGTCTGATCCATTTGAAGATTCACATACATTTCCTTGAAGATTTGATGTGTTGGTTGGTGCAAGTTTCAACAGATGGAATTCTGGGACTGGTCCATCACTCGTAGGTTGTTTCTTAGTTCATTTTGGTGGTTTATTTTTGTCACTACGTCATGTCTTTACCATGTTGTGTTCTTTGCTTCTATGGTTCTTTTGCTTTGAATTTATGCCTTTGCTCTGGTGATAGTCTGGTGTATGTTGGTATGTGCAATTTACATTGCAATGCATGCTGTTGAAAATAGTCCAAGTTCTTTCACAGGCCTCTCATCTACATCTTTACTTGGCTATATTTGAAAACTTATTTCCTTATGACATGAAATATTGTCTAAATCCCCATAAACTGAATATTTGTAGTTGTACGGCTGCTTTTCTTCAAAGTTTCCCTGTTCTCTTTTGTTGTCACAGATCATCCTGTAAATTGTTGTACATTCATGAACACAGGAAGCACTAATATGCTATGTTGTTGGTTGTTCGTTATGTCTATTTCAGTACTTCTGATTTCTTAGTTGTCGGCATTTTCTAGAATAGAAATTTCTAGAAAAAAATTTCCTAGAGTAGCTTAGCAAAATAATTTTTTTTCTAGATTATCCTATTGCGTGATAGCTGCTGTTGAAAGCAATCAATTTCACATCTTGAGAGGGGTAATTATGTGATTAACTTGCTATATTCTCATGGTTGTGCTGGATTGGTTTCCTCACTAATGAATCAATATTCTGCTTACTATCAGGCACAATTACCTGCATGACCTACCTTCCCTGGATCCAGAACTGTATAAGCACCTTCTTTTTTTAAAGGTGAAACTTTCTGGTAAATGTATTTCGATCATAGAATGGTGTCATATAACGTTCTCTGATTCTCTGTTTTATGCCACTATCTGTAGGTTAATTTCTTAAAAAAAAGTATGCTTAAATGTTTTATTGTGTGAATTAAGATGGTGGAAAGATTCTTCTGATCACTTTAAGACTCTAGATGCTTGCAAAAAATGAAACTGGTAAGATGAACAATATTCTTTTCTCTATGATAAACAGCATTTCCTTAGTTATGAAAGATGTGGGAGTAGAATCATATACAAGTGTATCCTGGCCTCTGGTATTTCATGATTTTCTCCAATTATTGAATTGCAAAATTCATCTTTTCTGCCACATTCTTAAATTTTCCTGTTCCTCTTGCCATTGTATGTCATGCTTAATAATTCAACGAATTGTTTTAGCTCATGTTGCTGTTTTAATATTATATAGTCCTTGGTTGCTTTTGATGGTGTTCCTACAAGGGTATATATGGGTTTGAGCCATTCATGCTCTGGGACCTTTTCTTTCTCTTTTTTGACAGAAGATGATGGTTCATTGGGTCATTATCCTTCATGTATATTGAAGTATCTAGGCTTCGATCTTTTTGTTTTGAAGTGTCTCTACTTTTTGTTGTGGTGGAAGATAAAATATTAGGGAAATCGATGGGGATAAAGTGAGCGTGAAGGAAATGATCATGGCAGCGGATGCGCTGCAGTATGGAAATGGAATTTGCCCACTTTCCTTGCACCAGTGCCCTTCACATGAACCATTAGTATCTATGTTGGAGAGAGGAGGAAATGTGGCTTCCAGGAAGGGAAGACATTTCTAGTTGGGACACATGACTTGGTCAAGGCTTCACCTATTTTTTCCTTGATAGTCGTCCATCCATGAACATTTTATTACATTATACGTCGTTACTAAGGATGCCAATTGTGTTATGAGGATTTGACCAACTTCAAAAGATTTGTGGAGAGAGGTGGGTCAATTGAATTGGAACCTTGCTGTTTGTGCCGTCAATTCTGATGGGCTTAAGCAGGTCAGTGGTAGGAGGAGCTTCCATGGTCAGGCTGGAGCTCAATCTGGAACTGAGAGTGGCTATTGCAGTGTTGAGCTGATACAGGACCACGGACAAAGATGCTTGAGGTGCTGCTAAAGCATACAGCAGAAGGTGCATTGTTATAAATCAAGGATTACTATTTGAAGAAAGGAGAAATGACAGATTGGTTGGGGGTACAACTCGAATAAGGAGTAGCAGCAGGCACTCAAATAGATAGTTAATTCAAGAACATTGTGGTTGGTACGAGTTGCCTATAATAGCAAGAGATTGAGTAGAAGAAGGGATTTAGTAGCAGTGGTTACTTGCAAGTCGTACTATGTTGTCCTGGCAAGCCAAAACCAGGCGATAGCAGGCTGGACTGGCTTGTAGTTGGTCTAACAGATGGTTGCCATAAGACAAGCATGCTGGACAAAGACAATGTGCTCCAATAATTGTTTTGGATAAAATCAGCATATGATCTCTTTGATAGCTTTTGACTCACGGGGAGAATTAGTCTACTTGTTCTTGCCAAATTTGGCTGTTCTGGGATTTGCGGTACTTGTTTGATATGTTACAACTATTTCCTGCATTCTAGTCATTCAACTTAAAGGCATGTTTTCATGCTGCCATGTCCATGTGTATCCCAAGAAGACCACGGTGGTCTGCTAGGGGATCGACTGGTATTCCATGCAAATGATCAACTTAAGCATGACATGTATCCTTTATTTTTGTCATTCATTGAATTTTATTTGGAAAACACATGATTTGTTGATGCCGACTCCATGGTGATCCAAAGCCTGAGCTTGCATGCAGTATATGGCATGTACATGTTACTCATGATTTTCAATATTTTGAACCATGAAATAACTATGCATATGTCATAACTTTTCTTGTATTCAACTATACAATTGTTTTCCTTTTTAATATCGCTCAATGCTTAAAAGTTCTACCCAAGTCTGGTATGCTCACGTGGGCCAATTATTGGTGTTTCAGCATTATAAAGGTGATATATCCGAACTTGGTTTGTACTTTGTGATCGTAAACAATGAGTATGGAGAGCAGACTGAGGAAGAGCTCCTTCCTGGGGGAAGAGATATACAAGTTACTAATGAGAATGTTATAATGTTCATTCACCTTATTGCCAATCATCGGTTGAATATCCAGGTTCTTTAGTCTTCAAGTTCCTTGTCTGTTTCTCCTTTCCCTTCAGTCATTCCTTCTTTTTACATGCATTTTCTCACTCTATGGTGCGGTCTCCATTACAGATACGTCAACAAAGTTTAAATTTCTTGCAAGGATTTCAGCAACTTATACAGCCTGAATGGATAGCAATGTTCAATGAACATGAACTTCAGGTCATATCTTCAGCAAACTATATTTTGAAACTAGCTTGGAATGTTTGTTGTTATGTGAATATTCTTTTTCTTTTTTCTTTTTTCGAAATTCTTTGTTGTTATGTGAATAGTCCTGTATGTGAATATTCTTTGTTGTAAGCAATCACTTTTAAACAGACTCAAGTGGCTTACTTCTTTCTTATTGTCACTTGGTTGGTATCTTCTTCAACTACATAGTTATTGGTCGACAACTTTCTTCTTGTTTATAGTTCTTTAAAATGTCGGATCAAATGAACATATAATTTTATTTTATTTTAAAATATACTGAAGTAATTTGACCAACAAGTTCAGTTTTTGGGATAGTCTAAGGAATGCCTCTATACATTGAACAAAAATATTCCTTTGGTAGTAAAGTGCCAAATTTGACTCCGATGTTATGGACGAATGAATTGAAGGGCCCCATTGGAATCTTATGTTTGCAAAAAGCAGTTTTACGGAGACTTGAAAATACTTACAGACTTACAAGATGCGAAACATGGTCAACTCATGTTAAGAACGTAACTAGACGTAGCAATAAATGTAATCATGCTTCCCACTTTCTCCACTCTCTGCTAACACTCTTTATGCTCTGCCATCTTTGTCAATGCTATCAACACTCAGCTTATGCTCTCAATGCTCTTTTCGATACGTGTCTTTCAGTAGTTAAGAGGGTGCATTCCAGACAAAGTTATACTTCTCCCAAGGGCATTCGGTCCACCCACCTCTCACCCCAAAACCCCAAAAAAGGAAAAAGAGTTCATTCTCAGCAAAACCAGTGATTTCCATCTCTGTTATTTGTTCATACATATCAGATATTTGAACTTAGCGATACTTTCTTTAAGTGCCACTGTTGAAGTGAACCTAGTATCATGGGCATCGCTCTTAATGGGAACTTGATTGATTCTTGATCATTAATCTAGAAATTAAGTATTCTTGTAATTTTTCAGAAATTTAATATTATTTATAGTTTCTGTTTATTTTTATAGTACTATCTCCAGTGTGAAGATGCAGCCACCATTGATTATGTTTAACAGGCACTGTTCACCTATCAAACATGATCACATGTTGGTCATGCCTTTGTACCATTCAGATCTTCATGCCAGATACTGTCCCTTTTTTTTTTTTGGTCAAAAGATACTAGGCAAAAGATTCTATGCTCCTGCCAGAGCATTTCTTCTATTCTCCCTCGCGTAAAATGCTATTGGAGTTTTTTTAGGACTCCCCAAATTTTGGGGTGCATCCTTCTTCAACTTAGCCATTAACCTTAAAAAACAAAAAAGGAGAGTTCAAATTGCATTGTGCTTGTGCCCAGAAAAAATAACATCCAATCCAATTTTTGGAGGGTGTGATCTAAGTGTTTATGAATTTAAGAACTCAAAATTCAATTTTTTTTATTTTGAAAACAATCATCTGGTAATTCTCAAGTGGATTATAAAATTTCAGATCAAAAAAATCCTACCTAGTTGATCTTTCGGCAGAGGGAGTAAGTGTACCGTTTGCTCCCACGGAGCACAGTATACGAGCTTTTAATTTATAGTTGCTCATCAATCATCAATTTGATTAACTATTTGAATTAATGTACCAATAAAAAGAAGTTTGCATTATTGTGTCACTCTACAACAAATATGTTTATGCTTCGATAATGTCATTGCCTTGACTAGAAGAATATTTCCAGCTTCTCATATCAGGTTCACTTGAGGGAATGAATGTTGATGATCTACGTTCCAATACACACTATACTGGAGGTTATCATGAGGTAACTTGTAATTCTGGTTTTCCTTGTAGTGTATCTGACATTCAAACTGCATAGGTTTCCTACCTAACTTCATATCTGTATTTGTTAGATGCATATGAAATTGCTGCTACAAGGTAATCTGTAGTCCTGTGACATGTAATTTCATGAATGGACTGTGTATGACTTCAATGCTCATTTGGTAAATGAACCTATGATGGGTATGTTATGTTTCTTGCTATACGACAGAAAACAACAATATTGTGATGTTTGATGTTTTAAACAAAGATGAAACATTAGACTAAATATTAGTTGAATCTTTGACTGGGGATGAATTATCAAAGAGTTCCAAAGGCTGTCTTTTGTTTGTTTATTCATATCTTCAATGTTGTATAAGACATGTAACCAATTCAAGTCTAACAAGCCTGGCATCTCACACAAGACTTGGAATCACTATCAAGGGAACCCAGTAGTGATGCATGGATCTTTGTAAGCAGTGCCATGTGCTAGTTTGTTCATGGAGCAAGGTAATGTTTGTATTCTAATTGCCAAAAGTGAGAAACAAAAATAGGAAGTGGTGGGCAACAGAAGCATGTGTTAGACTTGTGATGTTGTTTTGTTTTATGTATCGTAAAGCTGTTGCCCTAATGTAATACCAAGAGTTAATATAAAGCCTCATTATCCTAGGCATCTAGATGCTGCCCAGTAGAGTTCACACAAACTCTACACTATCTCTCTCTCTCTCTCTCTCTCTCTCTCTCGTATATTTTTGTTTGTCTTCCAGGTACGAAATTCATCAACACAACCGAAGTTAACATGGTATTAGAGCAGGTTCGATGAGAAGAATCGGTTCATCCATTGCTGAAATGCTCCTATCCAGGTTCCTTTATTTTTGCATCTTTGATCTCTTTCCCTTCCTTGAGCAGCATCTTCGTCCTATCTGTCTGCTTGAACTCGTTCTTTCTTTGTCTCTCAAAATCTTTACACTATTCCTTGATCCCAAGAAAATTCATTTCCTACACTCTTACTCTTTTTCTCTAGATCTTATTGTCTCTCTCTCAAGATCACCTTTTCTATACTATTTCTTACTCTCCCGTTTTCTACATTCTTTCTTACTCTCTCTCTCTAGATTTGGTTTCATTCTCTCTTGAACTGACCTTATCATTGCTCCCAATCACCTCTCCTATCATCTGGCCTTATTTTTCTTTTCCAGATTTGGTGTGATCATGTTTTGTGTCTGTTTCCCTTTACTATGGCACAGTCATTGAACCCCAATTCCCCTAATCAATCGATTTTGTTTCCCAATCCTCAATATTCCCTCAGTCAACCCTAAATCTTGAAAGGAGTGCCTATGTGGAATCCAAGGGAGAAATAAAATTCTTTTCTTCTTCTATTAATATATATGAATTTCACTTACAAGTATCACAATACACTATTGTAAACAAGAAATAAAACCCTAAATACAATCTAGGATCTTTATTTTTACTGTTAAATAGAATAAACACATTCCAGGAATGAAAAACAAGATGGCACTAACAATTTTAGCACAAACAATGTTCATGGAAATTTAAATAAACAATCAAAGATGACTGGAAAATAAAAGCAAAAAACCAGGAAGACTTACTAAAATTTGCCTAGGTTTACCCCCTTAGGGCTTGGTACACCTCATACCTAATTTCTTAACTGCTGGTGCACTCTTATCCTATTGACCTTGTTGAATTTTCTGAGCCAGGAAGCTTCCTTAGGCGATACGTCATAAACTAGGGTTTCTATAAGAGCATAACACAATTAGGAATTCTTGGACCCCTTTATGAACGTTTAGGGCATCCCATTGTGTGGCACCTCCCCTTGATCTAATCAATGTGCCCCCTATCTCTTAATCTTATAGGGTGGTGTGTGCCACCCCTAAGTCCTTATGAGGGTGGCCTACCACCAAGAGAGAGAGAATAGAGGATGAAAGAAGAGAGAGTGGGGCATGGAGGAGAGAGATAGGAGACAGAGCGAGAGAGAGAGAGAGAGAGAGAGAGAGAGAGAGAGAGAGAGCTAATAAAAAAATGTATTGAGATTTGTTTTTTTTAGTCAGGGTTGGGGGTCGTTCCTTACATAGGCTTCAAGGGCCCTACATATGCCTATTCAAAGTTGGGACTCATCATAACCAACAGGATTTTAGGAAATCTTTAAGGTGGGAGAGGATTAGATCTGAGTCGTCCATCCCATGAAGCAGCCGTCATGATTTAGGGAGGAATTCTAAGAACCTTATCCCTTGAGTCTTTAACCCGTATCCACTTCTAATTAAACTAAGATAAGAAAAAATATAAAACCATCTTCTAGAACTTCCTTTATCTCTCACAAAATTGTGGAAAGTTCAAAAGTAAAAGATTTGGTCATTTGGATGGATCTGTTAAGCCACCACCAATATATATTACTCAAGAAAACACAAATTTCATATGTAAAGAGAGGGATTAGTTTGGTATTGATACAGCCCAGAATAGTGCTCTCGAATATCTAGATAAAACATACAAGCTTAAAGCTTACGAGAGGAACTGTAGACGGGAAAAATAGTCAATGAATTTGTCCATTTATGTCATTTGTTTATTTCTTGAGTTATTTTATTTACTTGGAGGTAAGTAGTAATTTCTAGAGTCTTTTATATTTTTTTCTTCACTTAAAGTCTTTTGCAATTAGTGGCCATTATTAGATTAGTTGGATGGCCAAGATTAAGTCTTGTTTTCTTATACATCAAATGTACTCAAATATAATAAAGCATCTCGTTATGGACTTTATTGAACACCCTCGAGCAGCAAATGCTCCTTTTATCTCTGGTTTTTTAATCTTTCTCTAATTTTGGATCTTTCATATCTTCTTCTTTGCTAAACCCTAGCTGCAAGCTGCTAGGTTTGCACCAGGAAGTCGACCCAGCCTATGAAGATCGACTTGCTAAGGACCAAAATCTTATTGGTTGGGCTCAAGTGGTGAATTTATCGATAGCGTACGATCCTTGGACAGCCTCAATAGAGTCCTATTTTCAGGAATCTGAGGCTCTTGTTATGTAATTGAAATATGAACTTCGAGATTGTAAAAGGGGAAGATATCGGTGTCAAAATTCTATAACAAGATAAAATGAATATGTGATCAGGCTGCCATTATTTAGTAGCCAGTTGAAGATAAAGATAAGGTACAATATGTACTACAAGGATGGGTAAAGATTATAGAACTTTTGTAGCATATTTGATGACAAGGAATTCTTTTCCTTCTTTTGCCAACCTTCAACTTATGTTGTTACAACATGAGGTGGCATTTTGACGTAAATAGGCATACAATTCTTCTCCGAATAATGCAGACCACAATTCCTCTTTAGTAATATGAACAATGTTGCACAAAACCCAAATAATTTTTTAGGAAATAACAGAGGTTGTGGGGGTCGAGGTGGCAGAAATGGTCATGGTGGTAGAAATTTCTATGGTGCTGGTCAAGGTATTTTACCTACTCCTAATTGAAGTAGAAATGGAAATAGAGTTACTTGTGAAATGTGTGGAAGAGGAGGACACTCAGCCCACAATTGCTTCGATAGATACAAGAATGACAATGAAATAAAATGAGGAAATCAAATTGCGGCCTTGGCAAACACTAAGAACACGGTTCCAACATTAAACAATTCTATGGAATCTCATGCCAATACTTTCCCTATTGATGGGGCATGGATTGTGGATGGCAGAGCTGCCAACCATACATTTGGAGATCCTTGTATCTTCTCTTCCCTTGATCCTCCTACTGGTAGTGGTTCTATTATTATTGGTGATGGGTCCTCCCGCGACATCACACATGTAGGCAATGTCACAGTTGAGTTCGAGTTTTCCTTTGGTCCTATTCACTTGAATCATGTCTTTCTTGTTCCAAATATTAGAAATATTTTGATTTTTGGTTCTCAATTAGCATGTGATAGAGGGGTTTGCTATCTATTTACTCCGGATTTTGTTTCTTGGAAGGAACAAAAATCAGGATTTGTGTTCACCAGGGGAACTCATTGTGGACAAGCTATATGTGATAGATCGCATTGCGAAGAAACATTAGATGCTAGTTTTGAGTTTTAGTTTTAATAAAGATGCCGATTTATGGCATCATTGTCTTGGTCATTGTAGTAGGAGTCGTTTAATAAACTTCATAATGAGGGTGTTGTCCCTTCAAATGTCCAAGGTCTTAGTCGATTTATCTATTGACGTTGGCAAAAATTCATAACATTATTAAGTCATAGAAGAGCCTCCTTGCCATTTGAGTTAGTTCATTATGATGTGTGGGGTCTTGCACTTGTTTGTTCTTCTTCTTATTATTATTATATGTTACATACATTGATGAGTACTTGCGTTACACAAGGATGTTTTTCCTCAAAAACAAAGCTAATGTATTCGGGATTTTTATGAAGTTCAAAGTTACTTGTTGAAAGACATTATGGAAACCAATTTCATTTTTTGTAGTGATGGAGAGAGAGTGCTCATCTCATGCTTTCAAAAACCACTTGAAAGATCACGGGATAGAGCAACAAGTTCTTGTTCACACACCACCCAAAACAGAGTTGCTGAGAGAATGAATAAAGTTATTAATGAGGTAGCATTTGTTGGGTTTTGTGGCCTTTAAAGGTCTAGAGAGCTTGTAAAAATGATAACTTTACAGTGGAATATGCACTTCAATGGGAGTGTGCATGTTAACTAACTATGGGTTCGACGATTTATGGCCATGGTTATGTCTAAAACCCTTACCCCTGAGCATGTAGCACTACCATGAAGAGTTTATAGTGGTCATCCCTTGTTGAGGTTGGAGAGATGCCGAGGGGTGATGTTTGTAGGTCAAGAGAATTGTGTGGTCTCCTGCATGTTATTGTAGGCCTTTAAGAGCATAGTTTAAAGCCTCAACAAACTTCCGTACGGCATGTACACATGACAACTGCATTATTGGGAAGCATCTTTGTAGATGGACACATGTACATGTGCATAGAGAGCCCCTTTGCATTGTGGTGACAACTGTTAGAC